AACAGGAACAGACCAGATGAAGCTACTATGAGAAAAAGCAGAGAGAGCAGAACGTTAGAGATTGAACTAATAGGATTGATTCTGAACATAAAACATGTAAATAAACTGATCTGAGTTGCTCAGGTTTAGGTGCTGCAGTAAAGTTAACATATAAGCACTCGTATACAAACAATGTAACTGCTACTCAAATCTCTTAAGGGACCAAGAGATATTATTCAATTTCTCGCCGTGCCATGCAGCAGACGCTCTGTCTGCACTGATGAAGATTAGCTCAGTTTAGCTTTAAGCCTAATGGCTAAAAAAGAATCTGACACCTTTCTGTTTCAGTAGGCGAGTTAATCTGACTGCTGGGGGGCATCGCCTCATGGTCAGTGTAACCTGGTAATCCAGGCTGATCATGTGTAGCACTCAGGTTTATCTCTAAACATCATTAACCTGGAAGTGCTCCGATCGAATCGGTTTGTGGAAAGGAGGGACATTTAGCATTTCCTCCGAAGCCAACAAAATGCAGGAATGGTTCCGAGAGAGAGGCATGAAAAAAAACATCTTAAAATTAACTTGTTGGCAAAAACAGAAACAAAGAAAAAAAATCAAGCAACTCATTAGTGTATTAGTGTGCAACATATTCTCATTATCAGTTCGTATGAAATCGTACGAAAAGTTATGCACACTATTTCGTACGTTTTGGACGTTTTTCCTCAAAAAACCACATCAGTGCGAATGCGCTGGCAGACTGGAAAAAAAAGCAGATCCGCGGACTGACGTAAAACTGGGAAAAACAGTGCAATCATCACTTCTTCATGTCTCTAACCACGTTGCTTGCTGTTTTATATCTTAGGCTCAGGGTTAGGGCTAATTGTAATTTATATTCTATGTTCTTGAGTTGTGCGTAAGATGCGCATGCGCATACGATGAAATAAAAGTCCAAAACGTACGAAATTACGGTGCATAACTTTTCGTACGATTTCATACGAACTCATAATGAGAATACACTGGTATGTGAGTGAAGGTAAAACGGCAACATTTGGGTCAGCAACAGATTTTAAAGAGAGCAAGTCAGAAAGTTTGCAAAGGAGCAGTTTGGTAACTTCAATCTTCTATTAATGTGCTACATTAATAAAGTGAGTTGAATTTAAGCAGAACATTTATAGATAAAACTTTCCAAGACCTTCAGAAAGTGAGGGAACAGTGATTTAGGAAAAATGTAATAAATACGTAAACGATAAAGGAGAATCCACAACAAAATCCCACAGGATTCAAAATTTGTTCCTTACTTGATTTTTTTTCTTATTTCTATGATGTTTTTTTTCCTGATGCAAGTTTGGTTTGATTTATTGTTTTTGTTTTTTTTGTTTTTTTTTTATTTTGATCCACAGTCTGTTCTCAAAGTGGACGTATCACTGGTCTAACGGAGACCAGGCCAAGGACCAGATTTCTGACTTCAGGAGGGTTACGACACAAACAGATGAAGCAGAAAAAAAGCCTAAAATCAAATTTAAAATCGTTCCTCCACCTCCAAAACCCAAAGCTGAGCCTCCTCCTCCTCCACCTCCCACCAGGAGGTCCTCCTCCCCCAAACCTCACATGCAGAAGCGTAAGGTGGAAGTAGACGTTTTTCGGTTGTGCTGGAGGGAGTCCTGGAAGAGCCTGAAGCCTCCAAAGTACCTTTACCTGAAGGCCAAAGAGGCTAAAGAAAGGAGGGCATTGCTGATGGCCATCGAGTTTCCCAAAAACAAGAAATACAAATCAAAGGCGTTTGGATCGGAAGCCGAATGGATGAGTCTGAGTTATAAATGGAGTCATTCCTGGAAGCAGGTAAAGCTGTTCTCAGCTGAGAATCAGGATTTAATCCATGGTTGGATCCATGGTCCAGATAAAGTTATCATCATTAGGGACTTCTGGCACAACAAATGCAACATTTCTATGTTTATGACTTTGA